AGTTGAAAGAAGGTAAATTATAAACTATCAAACAATGCTGACAAATGCTGACAATATATTTCCAAACGCTGACAACTATATATAGTCAGATACTGGCAGTTTAAAATATAATAAACCGTTTATAAATATTAATGATTACTTTATTACGAAATAAATCTTGAAAAAGAATAAATTATCAATATTAAAATGTGGAATAATGCCCAGATACTGATTATATATATATATCAACAATATATATCCAGATACTGATAATATATATGGCCAGCCATTGATAATTCGCAGACTGTTTACAAATATGAATTAATAAAAAATAAATGTTGTTAAATGGTAAGTGATCAAAGAGAAGGGGGGAATAATAATAAATTATCGACTAAGTATTTTTAAAAACAAAATGCCAATGAAATTTAAACAAGAGTTGTAACATTTCTTTCTCTTCGACATGAAAGCATTGTTCAACAATACGCTTTTGAATCTACCCTTTAATAGAAATACACAAACGATAAGGAAAAAAAATATCTCTGCATAAATGAAGCTCAGCCCTTGTACGAACAATGGAGGCTACTGACAATTTTTCCGAATTCTTTTTATACCAGACTCATGTTTCCGAAGGCGCTTTTAACGGGAAAATTGTTGATTTTATTATCAATGAAAGTTTCAGTTTTATGTTTCCAAATTAGATTTCATCTTTAAAGGTCATTCTCGAGAAAGAGTTCCTTTTATTCAATTTATTCTTCTTTCAATACCTTTATTTTTATCAAAACACTTAATAAAGCCTCCCGATTGCGCATAGCAGCAGCTTATTTTAAATGTTCCAAAATGTCTTCATTTGTGTCGATAAATACAGTACAGAATATATATATATATAAGAAGAGAGTGAAATGATAACACATAGCCATTCACAGAAGACTTGCGGTTAGTAACGAACAAAACAGTCAATCAAAATTGAGAACGCATGAGTGTGAAAAAGTAATAATTTTTAATAATGCTATCTGCTGCATTGTTACAACTAAACTTACTACCTAAAGTTTGTTGAAATTTTTATTTTGTTTTGAGTATCTCTAATGATTGTTACATTGTTGTCCATGCATTTTTATTGACCGGAAAACCACGTAGTAGGACTAGTTTTTTCTCATTCTTTTCCAATTTGTTTTGGTTGTCATCAGCATAAAACTAATATAAGTCGTAAAGATATTGTTTTTCTATAAAGATTTTTGTATCCCTAATTTAAAGTTATTTTCCTTACAGCTACTATTCGCGATCGCAACGAACTATAGGGGGCGTTGTTGTATGAGACTAATACCTGCGATTTCTATGGACTAACTTTAGCTCCAAACATTTC